TTTTTAAATAATTTTATTTTTTTCTATTTTACAACTGTTTGATCTTTTTTATTCCACAGATGATCAAAAATAACATTTTAAACCATGTTACTTGGCATAAAAAAATGAATGACTCTTTTCAGGGCCACCAAAAGTTATTGAAGTTTTGATGAATCTACTCATGCTGATCGTAGTTTTATCCATTTCATAAAGTTTTTATTGTCATTATAATATTAGAAATACAGTAAAGATAAAGAAATTACTTAATTAAGAAGTTGTTACTGACCTGAAAAATATTTCCTTCTTTTAGGTTAGTTTTTATGTCTATGTCAAATCACATATTTTTTAAGTTTTTATGATTGTTTTATTGGTTTTGTTTGTTTTTCTGTCTGTTACAGATCAGATTATGAAACTGTCACTGTAGAGGCCTGTATCATTTTTATTGATTATTTTACTTAGTTTGTATAGTAAATGTATGCCTATGAGCTTACAGGTCTCTGAACCGTGAAAGGTCCTTTTTTTCTTTCTCTACACATCATCATTGTCAAATAATATTGATTTTTGGGAGTGTTTAATGATTTTTATTTTGTTTGTTTTTATTTTTATTTCTTCTTGAGCTAAGAAGATGGCTTTATCCAGCAAACAAACCACTGTATATGCACAACATCTTCCAACCACCTGCCATCATTAATTAAGTAGATCCCACAATCAATTAACCACAAGCTATCTGACAATTCTTCCAGTGAAACCATCTTCAACAAAGCCAAGAAAGACTATGAAACAAGCCTAAAAGATTGTGGATTTCCAGCAACACTCATATACACGGTACAAAAAACAGAAAAAGAAAAGTAACATCATATGATTCAACCCACAAAAACACTAAAACAAATGTAGGAAAAATATTCATTAAACTCATACACAAACACTTCCACCCCATCAAGCACACTCCACAAGATATTCAACAAAACCCAGTAAAAATCAGCAACAGTTGCACCGAGAACATGATACAAGTAATAAAAAAACATAACAAGAAAACAACCAACAAATCACCCACACAAGTCAAACCTACATGTAACTGTAGAACAAAAGACAAATGTCCCTTAAATGGCCTATAAAGCAAGCCACTGTAAAAGCAGCAGTTACTGAAGAAAAAATATGCATAGGAGTAACTGAAGGATCTTGGAAACAAAGAAATTACACACACTAATAAATATGGTGACAAAGGTGAGGACAATAGTCCAAATAATGTAAATGTACATAATACCTCATCTTAGAAATATAGATAAATACCAAATTACACACAAAAAACATCCTTTACAAATAATAAATACATGAATAGTATAATGCTTTCTAAACACATCTGGGAGATTAAAAACAAAAACCAAAGCACACTAAAAAAATCATGGAAAGTAAGGAAAACAGCATCAGCCTACAACAATAAATCCAAAAACTGTAAACTCTGTCTCGAGGAGAAAATTATCTTCCCAGACTAACACAAACTGCAAAATAAATGATCAGAACTCATCTCATAATGCAGTCATGAAAACAAATTTGTTATGTTACTTAAGACTGAAAAACTAAAAACAAAACAAGAATAAATAAAAAATAAAATAAGTAAAATAAATTAATCGAAACCAATAAATAAGTAAATAAATTAAGCAAATAATAAACAAATTAACAAACCACAAATGCACACATAAACACAAGTACAATAATAATAAAAATGTTAACAAATAACACTATAAATTAGCCACAAAACTGTACCTAGATCCACAATAATTTCCAGTCAATAGCCTCTAAAATAATTTGAAACAATCCTTACCACCCGTCCAAATAACCATTAGAATAATACAATAATACATAATGCATCATAATAGTCATGCAAAAATACAACACACATGGCCTGATGATTACATTTAAGCATGAAACAGACTGTCACTGCTGGGTGTTTCCCACTTTTATATTTACATACACACTATACCTGATATTGAGCCATTTAACCTTAAAACTAATATATATATGCAAATCTTGTATATTTCTTTATATTCTTTCAAATATCATCACAAAATTAGAACAATTTAGCAATACTCTGTAAACAAGCATTATGTTTTGATTAGTGTGTATTAATTTCACCTTCTCATGCTTTTAACACAACATAGTCAATAAAAGGAATTTATTTCCATTACAAATCACAAGAATTCAATCCCCAGCCTAAGTGATATAAAATTTTAAGGGATCAGGCCATTTCACAGTATTCAGTTAGTTATGTGCCATGCATGATACATGCATAGGCGATCATGTATCTTTCGAAATATGACTAATGAGGCAGATTTTTTCCCACAGTAGGTTGCCATTTCTTTCTGCGGTAGTCCAGTTGCTATCCAAGGCTATAGAACCCAGTCTGTCTTGCTATTTACCCATAGGTGGGAGGAGAAGAACAGGATTCATACGTTTCCGAAGGGTATTAGCATGTAAGTGAAATGTAATGGATTCGACTGGAATTCAAACTCGACTTTCTGATTCCTCAATCCGAGCCGCTATCCATTACTACACCGTGCCTTCTCACAGTATTAAAGTTTCAAAAAATGAATTTGATGTGTAAATTCAAATGCAGCATAAAGTTTCATTTCATAGGCAGTTTATTGTAATTATTATAAAACTGAATCAACAGTCTATAGTAATTTGTTTTGTCAAAAGCAAATTATATTAGAAAAAATGCAGTTTGTTGGAACAAAACACATTCACATTACTTCATTATTAAACAGTTGGTAAAATTTTAATAAAAACAACTTTACAGAATGATTAAGGTGTCATTAATATAAAAAGATCAATGCACAACCTCACAACAGTAAATATAATATTGAAAAATATGGTATCAAATCCTGGGAAGGGACAACTCAACAGTGCCAACTGAACACAAGAAAAACATATTTTTTAATGAAATAAATCGTAAATAAATTTATTTTTTAATAAAGTAAATACATTCACTCAATAAGGTTTTAATCCTTAATAAAGTAGTTTTATTTGGTTATAAAAAAATGTTATATTTTTATGGTCCTTAGTTATCCTGCACCTATCAAATTCAAGAAACATCTCAGATATGTGTATGTGTCTGAACAATAATTTCTTAAAAATGATTTACATTTTTTTTATTAAATATTAAAAAAAGGTATATATGTGTTTTAGTTTAGTTCATAATGGCTACACAAATTTGAAGAAAATTTTGCATTTCTAACTCTGACCAAAAGGATTTCTTTAAATGAATTTCTTACATAAAATGATGCAGATTGTTATGCTGAAGGGTAACTTTGATGCTGATCATCTCTTGTTGGTATATATCTATATCACCATTTATGATTTGTTGTAGATATTGAACAATCCTTTTCTTTATGCTATATGGATGGTGGGAATTGAAGTTGAGGTCATTTCTATCTGAATTTCTGGGATGAGGAGTTATCATTATTTACATATGGACTATTGTCCTTATCCTTGTTGTTGTTATCACATCTCAGACATTGTGGCTTCTTGGCCTTCATCAGGTGCTTGTCAATCTGGATAAACTTCAGAGAATTTCAAACTGAACTTTTTATTTAATCTATGGAGGTAGATTGTTCTCATTCCACTGACCATATCAAGGGATAACTTGTCTAGTACTGCTCACTAATTGCTCTACTGAGTCTAATATCAATGTCTTCAACCAATTTACTGTGCGAGTTATTTGTATATTCAGGAAAATTATTGGATTACTCTTCCATTTGTGAACTGGTCCAGCAATATTAGCATAGCTTTCTGGTGAGGCCAGAGTATTAAGGTGCCATCTAATTATTTCAGCTATATGGTTGTTTTGATCAGTGCTATTTCTTAAGCCAGGTTCTAAAGGCAGTACATATTTGGTATTATTGGTGATAACGGCAAATCTATAAAAAAGCCTTCCTCCTGCTGGGATATGTCAGATCATAATTGAAAAAATGTTGTCTGTACAAAGTATGTCACCATTTCAATTAGGTTATCTATTGAGATGCTGATACCAATCTGTTTTGAACTGAAATGCTAGAGAGCAGCACTAAAAAGATATCTCTTGATATGGACAGTAGAACATGAACAACTGTAATATAAATTTATGAATTAGTCTGCTAACCATGAATTTTTTTCCCAAAATAAAACTGGGAAAGGCATAAAAGAAAGGATTTATCACACATAATACTTTATATAATTCTATCTTTCTGCCTCTGACATGAAAATTTGCTTAAATAAGTGAACCAGCTAAAAGGGTAAAATACTTCAATACAGAATATATATTTAAGTTAATACATTTTGAGCTTTAATCTAGTTTAGAAAGTTATCAGAGTAATTACTTGTATGCTGTTTATAAAAGTTATACATCAACTTGCAGAGACTTTCAAATAAAACATCAAGTGTGTGTGTGTGTGTGTGTGTGTGTGTGTGTGCGTGTACATGTACTTAACAGATTAGACAATGTTCAACTCCAAGTAAAAAGGTTAGGATTTCAAAGGCAAGTCTTTAGTAAAGACTAGGCTTAATATGTATGTATATATATATATATATATATATATATATATATATATATATATATATATATATATATATGTGTGTGTGTGTATATATACATGTGTGTGGTATTATTTAGAACATCAAATGTCAAAATAGATGTTTTGAAATCTATTTTAATCTCATAATTAAAATAAAGAACCATTTGTCTTTTCTTACCTTGTTATTACAGTATTTATCCATTCCTTTTTGCAAATATTCTCCAAATAGAAACAGTAATCGCTGCCTATATAAATTTGACCAGATAGAAAGAAATAAAAAAGAAAAAATCCTTCATGTGATTATTTATTAAATTAACTGTTTAACTTTTCATTCTTTTTCATCTATAGACATACATACACCATTTTATGCAAATACACACACATTTGATCCCAAGAAAAATATACAAACTTGCTTTGATTACATTTTAAATTCATCATTTGACTTTGCAAATAAGCTATCTTCTCTTTTTTTTAAAAAGAGATCAAGTCTGGAACTGACTCAGTGCCGTCTTCAATGAGGCCATTGTTGCTATAGTCCAAATCACGCAGAAGTGATTTCTCAAAATTGAAATCATAATTGTAGTCCTGAAAAATGTCTCTACTAGGCAAGTTAAAGTCCAGTTGCAGATCTAAGCATTTGGCAATGATTTCTAAATCTGCTGAGAATTTAAATGGGACATCACTCAGTGGAGAAATATGGCTCACATTTCTTTCAGAAATATTATTTCTGGTTGATGGAGTGAGTTGGTTAGAGCTTGCTGTATCTGATGACCAAACAGGATTTGACATTATGATCTGAAAAGAATAGTGGGGAATACAATAAAAAGTACTGTACAGTGAGAGAATTTTTTTTTTAATGATGTTAAAAAAAGATTAAAAAACAATTGAAAAATTTATTTTAAACCATGTAAAACTGATTGGCTTTCATATTTATTTTGTGAAAGTGATTCTCAATAATTAATAACTCAGCATTCTTAAGAACAAAAATTTCATTTGTATTTTCCTTTTTTAATAATTGTAAATCTTTAGGCAAAAAATGATAACACTGTCAGATTAAGCATGAAGCCTCCATCTTCTTAACATGGAAATTATTAGCAATTTTTTTGTTTTATGCTATTGCAATTTTTAATTAGTGTATGTTTTATCCCAATTTTGATAATGAGATATTATAATCCTCAATATTTTAATGATTTTGATTATGCTTTATTGAAATTGTTAAAAAATCAGCATACCGTAATGAAAACAGTTTTATCAGCAAAAACATTATGTTATTATTAAGAAGAAGGATCAAAGTATTTTTTGGATATTTAATTAAATTTTTTACTCCTTTTTAGAACATTAAAAATTTTGTTTTTCTTGCGTCAGTGGATGTACTATATTTTAGTATCCTTTTTGCAATGACAGACACATTAATTTGGAAATTCTTGCAAAAATCAAATAATTGTCAGATTTTAATCAAATTTTCAGAACTTATTCACAAATGAATGAAATTATTTAAGAAATGTTTTTTTATTAGAAAATCTTGGTAAAAATACAACATAGCTAATGGAAATCTCCAGGAAAGTGACTTGTTGCACTATCTCAAGCTAATGTCCTCAGCTAACAATGTGACGGGGACCTCAGGGAGTTATTCAAACAAAGGAAAAGGAAAGAGACTACTAACTGCATGATAATTGTTGAGATTTACAGGAAAGTGGACTGAAAAGTTCAGAAAAAAATTAAAAATGATATGTGTTGAAAAAATTGTTTCAAAATGATAAAATGAAATCATGAACAGTTCCAAAGAGAATTGAACCCAAATTGAACTAAATGGAATTCAGTAAGATTGAGCAAAACCAAGACTATCAGTCCTTCTCCACTTCCTATCAATAAGAAAGAGACAATGTATCATCAAAGATGTTGGTCCTGGAAAATAGAAAACATGTTGTCGATAAGGAAAATGGGTGGTCACTGAAATAACATCTATATGGTTCTGGACAAAGAACCAGGAAAAACATCTGGTTTGAATTGGCCACCCAGTTGAAAAATATCTCAACAAAAATAAAGATTAGCACCTAAGATTGGGGATGGGTTCGTTCATTTTAATTTCTGTGACATTTGTCAAAATTTTTATTGCTGACATACTTTTGGAGACAAGCTTGTTTAGTTAGTAGCCATGGTTAAATGCCAAAAGAAATAACAGAACTGTACAACAAACAGAATTGATAAAATTTGTAATAAAAAGAAAAAAGGGCAAAAATGAAATAATATCAAACAAGTAAACAATATATGCAAAAGCAAATTCACAGGTAAGAAGGCAAAATGTTTACAAACTACGAATTGGCATCTACACACAAAAGCAAGGTTAGGCAAGATAAATGCAGTGGTCTGTCTTAGAGATAACGCAGGTCTGGACTGAGTCAAGTCAAATTGTAAACCAACCTATTTTATTAGCTAAGAAAAATATCCCAGCATTCCCCCAATTAATGAAATCAACATTTCTCCCCCTCACTATTTAATGGATGAGTGCACTCATATTTACCTCCCCTTAATTCTCCCTTTCTGTGAGGTCAATAAATTTAAACAAAATTACATGCAAATATTTACATATAATTTACATACATAAAAATTTTTTTTTTGATATTTTAAATATCTTTTCTTTTTTTATATTCTTATATCTATATTTCTGAGATGAGGTATTGTACTTATTTACATTGTTTAGACTGTTGTCCTCATATTTATTTTCATGTTCACAATGTTTTGGCAGTTATACACTCTGGCCTTCTTCAGGTGATTGGAATTTCGAACTGAACCCTTATTTTTTTCCACTGGGAAGTTACTCAAGGACACATGGCCCAGTGGATAAAAGTGTTGGTTGGATCCAGTGACATGACCTATAGAGTTGTGAGTTCAATACCTGGCTACTGCAGTGGTGAACAAAAACTTGGAGAGTTCAGTTAAAGAGAGAAAAGAATAATCTGGAGGACAGTAGATTTGCAGATTAAAATTGGCTGGAAAGTATGGAGCCAGAATGGAGTTTCACAATCAAGAAGTGTGAAAAAAGAAACTGATTGCATAGAACTTACAGCCAGCTCAACACTATTCTAGTACTGCACTTTAATTCAAAAAGTCTAGGTACCACATTGAAGAGCTCATCCGAATTCATTACCATGAAAGTATTTATAGAAAAAGCACAGAGAGATAACCTTATGGTGGTGGGAAAGTGACTGAAGCAGAGCCACCAGATCAGGATCATTAATATTGTTGATTATTCTTTGGATTTTATCAAGGACAAGGTAAATTGCAAGGGCACTGGACTGGACCATATGTATCCGTAATATTCTAAGCCTGAATGAATGGCAGACTTATAGATATGCAAGATAGATTCTGGAGAGAAAAATTGTCTTGCACAACACAGTGAATGTTCTTTCTTAACAGCTGACCTAGCAATGGATTCATTATACTCTTTCCATTTCATGTTGTAATCCACTCTCTGTTACATTGGTCTTCAGTTTCCTTTAGACCACTGTGGTTACCATCTAGCTGACTCAACCCTCATTAATGCATTGCTGGTTTGTTGCTGGTATCATCATGATGAGCACAGTTCCCCTTGATCTCGCTGGCATGTCTCCTTCATGCCTTTGCCACATCTCGGAGAGTTAGAAGATTACTGATGAAGTAAACTGAAGTGAAGAACAGGTTGACGGCTGGGAGCTACACAAAAAAGAATTCTTTGGAATAAACAATTAACTTGGGTTAAAAATCTAACAACAATTTGGTTTATATGATTTGTTGTATCCAGCAGTTTTAACCTTTCGCACTTGCTGTTATAATCAAATGACACTAGGATCCCCTTTTGGAGTTTACAGCCTGTGTTGGTAGTATTTTAAATTTCACTGGATCCACCAACTTTTTATCCACTGGGCCATTCTTGTGTGATTTGACCCAAACTGACCCAACTGGCTACTGCAGTGGTGAACAAACACTTGGAGGGTTGTGTTAATTTATATCCATTTCACAAGGTGTTGAACAAGTCATGCAATCTTGCATTCCAAATTTGGTTAGAATCATCAATATATTTTGTTTGATTCATCTCAATGGAGTCATTTTTAAATGTAACTTGTATACCTAGAAAGAAAGATAGCTTTCCAAGATCAGTCATTTTAAATTGTTCATTTAAATATGTTTTTGCATTAATTAACACAGAATTGCAACTTGCACCAATGAGTATATCTTCAACACAAACAATTATAATGAGTATTGTATTAGAAATGTTTTGTGTAAATACAAGAGTCTGCCAAGGATTGAGAGAAACCTTGACCAATTAAATATATTAGAAGGACTTGATTCCAATTTTATCTGCTTTGTTTAAGTCCATATAAGGATTTCTTTAATCACCATTCAAGTTTGTTTTAGTTTTCACTGATAACAGATGGTTGAACATATACTTTACAGTCGATCAGTGAATTTAAATGACGTTTTTAAATCCATTTGGTGGACAAATAAATTATATTGAATAGCTAACTGTATTAAAGTTTTTACCAATTATAATCGAATTATGGGAGAGAAAGCTTCATGATAATCTATTCTTGGTTTTTGCAAGTAGTCTTTTGCAATGAAGTTTGCTTTGAACTGTTTATTACTGGTGTTATTAGTTTTAACAGTGTAGACCCATCGATTGCCAGGTGGAAGCTGTCTTAATGTATATGTATTATTTGCTTTTAGAGCAACTATCTCTTTTTTTCATGGAATCTTACCATTTTATAGAGTCATTTGAAGTAACAGTTTCATTATAATTAGTGGGTATGTTCTTTACTGAACAACAATAATCTATAGTCAGATTTACTTCATCGTCTAAATTCTTAACAATCTTTTAAATATTCAGGCATTTTTCATAACTTTCTTGTATATCATCTGTCTTGTATTTCTGCACTAGGATTATTCCCTGTATTATCACTTGAATTTGTTGATTGTGTAGTCCTGCATTCTTGTGTCCCCTCCACAGAAGGATTTTTCAGGAAAGTTGTTGCAAAGAATTGTATCATTTTCTTCAACTGGAAATAAAGAATCATCAGATATAGGATTTTCAGTTTTCAGTAAATTTTACACACCTAACTCTTTTAATGTTCTTAGTTTCAGGTATTATGTTAAATAGGGAAGACTTAATTAATCATAGCTTTTGAAAATTGCTTTTTCACCTTCATGTTTAATTATTAATCAAAAGATTTTCAAAGTTTTCAGAATTGAATTCTGTGCTGTTATCACTTCTATAGAGCCATACAGAGCAATGTCAGCCAAATATTTCTTTGTGGTGAGAAACATATTGCTTTTTGTTTCAGAAAATAAATCAAAATTACACCAGAATAATCATTCACAAAATAAAGTATATATTTGTAGCCATTCAAAGATCTTGGTTTGATTCTCGGCCTGGCAGTGAACAAGGTGTAATATTTCAGTTGCCGTTTTCTCAGGTAACTTGCTTTTATACTGTACTGTTTTGCCTTGAATACATATTTCACAGTTTGAATCTGATTTATTGATAATTTTCATGCATTCCACAACTTCTTGTAGCTGTATAATTTCTTTCAGACTGCAATATCCAAGAATTTGATGCCATTGTTTTAGGCTATGTGTAACAGTTTTGAAGGTTACTGCAGTATTTAAATAATATAGGTGCCCATTTTTTTTTTATGTAGAATTTTACATCATTAGGGTAGATAAGTTTGAAGTAATTATGGCCAAATTCTACAGAAGCTCCTTTTTCGGTAGCGGCTTGTGCTGATAATATACTATGAATTTTGGGATGTATAGAGCAT